AAGGGGAATGAGGTTGCTAAGCTAAGTTTCTTTCTCTTTGTGCTTAAAGATCAAACTCCAATGCCATGCGACAGGCGTGGTGAGCAATCTTCATCATTCAAAAAAAAATCAAAGTCCAATGCCCTCAAAGTACTTTTATTTGTCCACTATATCTACCTACACTTTCATATTGTGGAGTTGTCCAACTCTTCTAGTTGGAACCGCCGAGTCATTCTCCCAGATAGCAGTTGCAAACCCTAATTGTTCGGAGCTACCAAGCATTCCACTCGGAATCTTCAAGCTATTTTAGAGTGTGGGTGATGGCGGTCGGTGCAGTAGTCCACTTGGAGCCTCCGAACGCTATCTGGTCGAACCATGCAAGCTGTTTGAAAGTTGCCACCTTTAGTATTGTTCGATGCTTCCAAGTTTATCATTCCAGAGCCTTCGAGCTATGTTAAAGTGTGTGTAACGGTCATATTTTTGTTTCATAAATACCCCCACCCATTCCATTAGTTCACTGAAAGCAAACTCCATTCATATCATTTTTTAGAGAGAACTCCACCTTTTTGTGCTGATTTCAAAGGTCTTTCACTAAAACCATCAAGCCAAGTCTTTGAGATCTCATCACCTCTTTGCTTTTCCCTCCCGCTTCTCCAATCAATAAGCTATATGAAAGGATCAAAGATGTAGATTAGAGGGGGGATGAATAGGATACTACAATTTTTTAAACTTATTTAACAAAGTTAGGGAATGTGCGGATAAAGTAAGTTCTCTAGATATGCAATCTACGGTAAGAACAACTTATATGGCAAACAAGATAGAACCAAGGTAAGCAAGATTAGCATGCTAACAAAGCTAGCGAGCAGAAAGTAAAGGTACGGTAAAGGATAAACCACACAAGTTGGGGATGTGGATGTATCCCAAACTTCACTCTTTGGGGAGTGATAATCTCCGCTGGAGAGGTGCTGAAGCCAAAGCTATAGAATTTCACCAAGTGGATCACCTAGTACCCCTTTGAGTCACCCCCAATGGATGAGACTCATGCCATGCTACTTGTGAGCGGCGTTGAGATTTTCCTCGAAGAGGAAGGGTTAAGCAATATAGTAGGGGATAGTATTCCCCTAAGTGAGAACCAAAGTTATTATTGAACAAATAGGAGAACGACGCAAATGCCTAGTGAACAATACCTGCACATACAAGAGCAAATACTTGCACCCAACACGGGCAAGAGGGTTGTCAATCCCCTCAAACTCGCTACTTGCAAGGATTAAATCTGATAGTTGAAACAAAGGAAAAACTAGAAAATTTAAGCACTCATTGATTCACAAGATTCCAAAATACAGGAATGGAAAAAAATATAGTAATATGATAAGATTGCACGTGCAAAATGGAGGATATAAAAATATATGTACTTGGAGGGTGTTTGATTTAAAAGAATAGAGAAGTCACAAGAATCATAAGAACCATAGTAAGGTTAATGCAAAGTTAAGATTAAGTCAATATTGTGCTACTTTGTCTTGTTATTTGTGCATATGAATGTAAAAAGAAGGTTTGAATTGCTTTGTTTCTCTTTTGAAATTCAAACCAAAGAAAAAAAATCCATGTTTCTTTTGAATCAAAAAGATGAATAGTGTCCACATAGAAAAACAGTTCATATTCCAATGGTTTCTCCCTATTGTTAGGTTCTACCTAACATTCAAACAACCATTTTAGAGTTTTTACGTGGTTTTGACACCTTTTGTTGATATAAAAGGAGGTATACGACCTCTCTAACTATACGACATCAAAACTTCGAGCATGCACACAACCAAATTATTATTTAAAAACCGAAATGATCAACGACATACAACAATGACCTTTGGCTCCGGCCATCGCAATCGAAAGCAGCCGCATACCCTCATGAACCCTTCATCGTCTCATGGTCCAGACATGAGTAATGTCACGCGACTAATAACCATGACATTTCAATTTCATTTTTTGAGCACACACACACACACATTTCAGTTCAGTTCTAGCAGCGACAAGTTCTTTTTTAGCAAAAACAGCGACAAGTAATATGAATCGGATGACAATACTTTTTTGAGTCGTTTAGTTGCTATGCATGTCAAACTGGGCCTGAGCTACCAAACTTCGGGTCCAAGGCCACTTGTCTCGGAAGAAAAGCCAGATGCCGACTCAGGAAAAAAAAGATGCCGAGTCGGAGTTTTTAACCGCATTCAGTGTAACGTCTCCGGCCGTCTCTCTCCCATCCCACGCAGGCTCGCTGCAGCCTCTGCAGCCACTCAAAATCGCCCTGCTTTCTCGCACCATTTGAAGCTTCTACATGGAACACCTCAACCTAGGGCTCGCAGCAGCAGGAGAAGAAGACAAGCCGCGGTAGCCATCGAGATCAGCCGGGAGAGAAAAATCAAGGGGCTACGAACGAGAGCAGGAAGCCATGGCCTTCCTCCTCCCCAAGCTCACCACGCCGCCCTGCAGATCGCCGCCGCCCAAAATCGGCCTGCCGAGCCACGGCGCCGGCGGCAGGCTCCACTGCTCCGGCCCGGCGCAGGCCGCCGCGCCGGCCCACCTCAACCTCCCGCTCCTCCTCAGCGCCTCGCAGCAAGAGGCCCCCGCGGCCAAGTCCGCGGAGACCAGGAACCGGGCTGCGAGCGGCGGCGGCGGCGGCGGCGGGGACCCGCGAAGGTCGGATTTTTACCTCAACCTTGGGGCGGCGGTGCGCGCGCTGCGGGACGACCTGCCGGCCGTGTTTCTCCGGGAGCCCAACTACGACATCTACCGGTGAGCAGGCCTTCCCTATTCCCGCGTGACTATTTTTGTTCCTTTTTTTCTTTCAATAATATTAGTGGTGTGTTTTGTCTGATTAGTTATCTAAAAAGCTCGTTGGTAATTAGTCATGGAAACATCTTACATCCAAATCGTAGCTCGGCAGTTCCAGGAATCAAAGCAGAAACTTGAACTGAAATTGTGATGTGCAGCTAGTACCAATTTCAGTGCTCATAAAATGGCTATTCGCGCAATAATTAATAGAGCTTGCCACTCATACGAGTTATGATTCAGAATCCTGGATGTGATAGGCATTTGTTCTGTCATCCCACCATTAGCCCTTTATTAACTGCTAATATGTTGTATTCATGATTGGAATAGAATCAATTGATGAACTGGCTTAACAAATTTACAAGAGGTTAAGGCCACTAGAGGGCAGTGACACTGACAGTCCATCATCAGCAATTGCAACAGTATGTGTTGTCCTAGTATTAATACGAATAAGTAAATAACCGAGTATGATTCTGGTTATGCCTGACACTGACAGGAATGCTAACTGCATATATTTCATTTCTTGCAAACTTCTATTCGTTGTAGATGCACTGTAGGCACACTCTTATAAAATGGAGACTATAAACATTCTTTACGTCGCATTGCAGCGAAGACATCACATTTGTTGATCCGTTGAACACTTTCCATGGGATCGACAACTACAAAACAATCTTCTGGGCTCTCAGATTCCACGGTCGTCTACTATTCAGTGAAATTGGGCTTGATGTGTCACGCATTTGGCAACTAACAGAAACCTCGATAGTTGTCCGGTGGGAACTGTGGGGCACACCCCGTGTCCCGTGGGAATCATATGGCTGCTTCAGTGGCACATCCAGGTACAAAGTCGACAGGAACGGGAAAATTTACGAGCATAAAGTCGACAACTTGGCATTGGACTTCCCCCGGCCGGCTGTCAAAGTGGGCAGCATTACTAACTTAGTAGTTGCTGCATACCCACCGAGCCCCAATCCAACTTTCTGGGATGTGGTTGGCACGGGCGATGGATGCTCATGGACAAAGCTTTACCAAGCGGTGCTGGAGACAGTAGAGCGGGAAGGTGACATTCCCGCGGGCGTTTGCATGGAAGGTCTACTCACTTGTTCATAGATGGAATCAACTTCAGGACTAGCTGCTTCGGTAGTGAGTTTTGCTAGAAACAAATGTATAGAATGTGGGTACATATTAACCACATCACTGTCAGTTCTCTGTTTGTATAATGTAGCTCAGCACTAGAAAAACTTTAGATCAAATACATGGTAGATGACTATACCTCATCATCCTTGTTGTGTATTTTAGGATATTACTGCCACTTGCTTGCATCTTATGAGATATGAATACAAAAGTTGTAGATTTTCTCATGGGTTAGGAAAACTCTGCTCCCTAAATTATTTAAGAAAAATGGACGATCTCGAAGAACATTTGTGATGTAATATTCATTTTCCTTTGCAATTTTTTCTCTGCTTGCTTAGGGAGCTGGGCCATTTGAATTATGAAGTATTGTTAACACCCATGAACTGTAGATAGACCCTATGTGAGATGCCATTAACTGAGAGTTGTGTCAATCTTCTTTCTCAGAATTTATCTTGACCATGCGGAGTTCACATGGTCTGTCATAGGGCCTAGTTAAACATTCAAAACTTTGACTACCAGTATATATTTTCAAATATTCAGACTGGAAACTTGGAGAGTCATGTGTCAATTTTCTAGAAAAAGAAACTTGTGTTCAAAACAAATTGGGTTTGTAAATATTCCCTCCGTTCACAAATACAAGATGTTCTAACTTTTTTGTGAACCGGGTTTATATACACACGTTTTAGTGTGTTTGTTCACACATTTCAGTCCGTATGTAGTCCATATTGAAATATCCAAAACATCTTATATTTGTGAACGGAGGGAGTATACTGTAAGAATGGTTAGTGGTAAAATTAATGTTTTGCAAACTGTATTGATGTCCAAAACCAAAACTTTTCTAGTTGTAGGGGGCAGAAGATATGTGCGAGTTTATTGATGTTTTTCCCCCTTCGTTTGACCTTTTATCAGCACAGCCATTTCGCCTGTCCTTCACTGCTATAACCTTCTTATAATCCTTGTGCCATCTCGAATGTACATTTGTATGCTTGCAGGCCGCTCTTCATATAAACTAAGTATTCACCAAGAAAAGGACATATTACTTGGTTTGAAGTGATCAATAAAGAACCATCCTAATGGCCGGCCGGCTCGCCGACTACTTCCGTATAGGTTTTTATTCTGTGGTGCAGCAAAGCACTAGCCAGACCCAAGCCATCATGAAGCACCTCCTACTCTCTTGCACCTGTCTCCTACTCTGTGCTGTAGTCACACCGGTGACTGCCGACATTCTGCGTGAAGCTGAAGCTCTTCTGAGTTGGAAGGCTAGCTTGGACGGCGCCGACGAGTCCCTAAGCTCATGGTCATTGGCCAACTCCAGCGGCGTCTGCCACTGGATGCACATCAGTTGCAACTCTGCCAGGAGCACCATCGTCAACCTCAACATCAGCGGTGCGAGTCTGAATGGCACACTTGACAAGTTCGACTTCTCGGCTTTCCCCAACCTGAACAAGCTCATCCTATTTCAGAACGGTCTGCATGGCAACATTCCAGAAGGGATCGGCGACCTGACAAGCCTGGCGCGGTTGCGGATCAGCAGCAACTGGTATGTAACTGGTACAATTCCCCGTGGCATTGGCCGGCTGAAGCAGCTCACTGAACTGCAACTGGGAGGTTTGGGTCTTGATGGTGCGACGCTACCTGAAGAGATTGGTAACTTGACAAGCTTGACGAAGATTGCGCTCTACTCAATCAATTTGACTGGATCAATCCCGTTAACATTCGGGAGACTGAAGAAGCTCCGGTTGCTGAACCTGAGAAACAACAGTCTGACAGGGCGCATCCCGCTGGAGATTGGTAACATGACAGAATTACATCGCATGGACCTGACGCGGAACTATTTACATGGCCAGATACCAGGTACATTCTCTCGTTTGGTAAAGCTAAATGGCTTGTTGCTGTCAGAAAATCAGCTCGGAGGCGACGTCATCCTTGAGCTAGGGAATAGCAGCAGGCTGTCTTATATCAACATCGCAAAAAATAGCTTCTCTGGGGTCTTCCCGCCGTCCATTTGCGCGGGAGGGGCACTGGTTACGGTCCTTGCTGCATACAATGGATTTACAAGCCTTCGCAGCCTGACCTTTCAGAACTGCACGACCCTGGAGCACATTGACTTCACAGAAAACAAAATTGTTGCAGACCTAATGGCTTGTTTTGGCAAGCCTCCAGAACAACTTCGAGGGTTAACTGTCAGTAATAACCATCTGTATGGCACACTTCTGACAGATGATGGTGAGGTATTCCTCTGCAACTCTACTAGGTTATCACTTCTGGACCTATCAAATAATGCCTTAAATGGAGACCTCTCCAACTCCAAGTGTTTATGGAACATGCGGCATTTGGAATTCATGGATTTGTCCAGTAACTCGCTCAGTGGTGTAGTTCCGTTCTTGGCGACGCCTAACCGGAATCTTCAGTCTCTACACCTAGCGAATAACCATTTCAGTGGAGCCTTTCCTTTGGTTCTTAAGAAAAGCAAGAGACTTATCACTCTAGATCTGGGAGGCAATAATTTCTCAGGTGGAATACCTTCTTGGATAAGCAAGAGCTTGCCTGAACTAAGATTTCTTTTACTGTCATCAAACATGTTTGATGGCATCATACCATCACAGATATTACAATTTCGTCAACTCCAGATATTGGACCTGTCAAAAAACAAGTTCACTGGACGGATTCCATCCAATTTTGGTAACTTTACTGGCATGATCCAAGAACAGAAAAATGGGAACGGCACATACTGCTACCTGCCAGCAGAGCAGCTTCGTATAGTCCTGAAGAATGAGGGTTATCTTTACAACTTCACGATATCGTTCATAGTGGGTATGGACTTATCTAGCAACTTCCTTTCACAAGAGATCCCAAAAGGGCTCACATCACTTGTTGGACTCAGGTACCTAAACTTGTCAAGAAACCATCTCTCAGGTGGTATTCCTGGAGACGTTGGCAATCTGGCATTGCTAGAATCCTTGGACCTTTCAGAAAACCAACTCTCAGGGGAAATTCCTCCAAGCCTTGCAGATTTGAAGGCCCTCGGCACTCTGAACCTCTCGACCAACGGTTTATCGGGGAGGATACCTACAGGCAGCCAGCTGCAGACATTCCCAGATCCTTCAATATACAGCAATAATCCAGGGCTGTGCGGTTTCCCGCTGCAGGACTGTGTAAACCCATCTGCATCAAACCAAAATCAAATGAGCCAGGACGAAGATATGGAGACACTCTGGTTGTACTGCTTTGTGGTAGCAGGAGTCATCTTTGGGTTTTGGCTATACTGGGGCGTGCTCTTTTGCAACACGACATGGAGATGTGCATTCTATCAATATGTCGACAACATGCAAGACAAGGTAATTGCCAAGAAAATAGCTGCATATCGCACCTCCAAGCTAAGGCATGAACGAGGACGTGCATCACAAATTTCTTAAGTCGGTCATTGCCTGTTATATTTTCCCTTAATGATCTACATTTCTTAGGTTGTAATTTCTTACATGACCGAGTGGCACATCTCAAGTTGAAAGCTGTGCAAAAAAATTGTATGTAACTTTAGGCTTCAGAATGTGGGCAGTTGCACATTTCTTAACCTAAAGCTGTGCACAGTTTCTAAAATGTGCAACTACCTGTTACCATTGGGTCAAGATTGTAACCGTCCACTTGGATTTACAAATTGTTGCAGAAATTTGCAAATTGTCTGTAATATTTGCCCCTTACTCTCTGAAGAAAACTTATTAAACTACAGTCGAACTGTTAGGACTTATAAGCTTCAGTAGGAATGTTAGTGTAGTTTAATAAGCTATTCCAAATGTCAGCATCACAAAAATTGCAAACACAAAAGCTTGTTTGCGGCAGTGAAGAAATTTGTTTAGAGATTTTGAATGCTTGCACCTGAATCCATTGAATTTGCCTCTGAAAAGTGATTTTTGTTTTCACTTTCACCAAAAAAAAAGAACAAGCAGAGCATTCATGAACCCTGGTCCCATCATGGTTGGTTGAACCTACGTCTCATTTGAAGGATAGCATTATTGTATTGTCGATAAATATGTCTGGTTTTCGCAGCAGATTTTTTTCTTGAACTTTATTCAATCATGCATTGTAGTACAATGGATTGCTACCCTTAAGAAAAGGAGGTAGGTTCCCATTATTCCTAAACTATGGCCTAAGTTTCATATTTGTCCATGGATTCCAAAACTAACTAGAAGGACACCCTCAACTTCCAAAATCGGTCTGTTTTATCCCCCTCTACCCCTAGCTGGAAATGGGGTGGTTTTGGTTGGTGTGGCACCTAACTGTCATTTTTTGTGTGCTAGTATCATGTCCAAGTGGACAAAAGTCATTGAGTCAGAATTTCAGAAATCATACAACAAGATCATATAAAATATGAGAAATCAAAGAGAACTTCTAAAATAAGATAATCATGTTAATGTAAAAAAGGGTTGAGGGTTTGAAAGATCAGGAAAACAAGAAATCATTACATAATAATAAAAATAATGAAAACAAAATGTTAAAATTGAAGGAATACAGTGGCACAATTGAGATAGCTCATATTTTTTAATATTCCCTCTTTGACTAGAAAATTTTAGAGAAGTGTAAATGCTGTCAAATTTAGAAGGTCAATTTCAGATCTGTCTCGATATTTCATAAATATTTTACAGGATTTATTTATTCATTTGTACCTTGTCGTTTCCCCACATTTGTGAAGATTACTAAGTTTCTCGGTAATTTAATTTTCTTGCCACAATTTTCAGGTTATGCCCCATTTTCTCTTAAGGTTTTCTTCTTGTATTTAAATATCTCGGATTTCCTTTATGTAATAAGATCAAGTAGAATATCCTGATTTATTTTCAAACAATTTTTTTTACGATGCTAACTCCATGCGTGACCGCAAAAAATCGTCCGTTTTTTGTGGAGGGGGGAGGATAAAGTTAACAGTTCTGATACTTCATGGTGACTTTTTAACTCGTTCTGAAGTTTAGGGTGTAGCATGCACTTATCTCCTAACAAATCCATGATGATTTGTTGGTTCTTTTAGTATCAATTTTTGACCTAATATCCAATCACCAGTAGGAACCATGCACAATTTCTAGGTCGACTGGGAAAAAATTCTAGTGGCTGGACTTGTGAATTGCATGTTATATAAGCTGCAACTGAATTATGTAGACTTCAGACTTCAGACTTCAAACAATTACGTAGATGTAGCATCGCTGCCCTCCACACGCGCGCGCGTGCGCACACACACACAAAATGCAGTGAAACTTAACAGCCAAAGCATCCTTACAGATGAAGCTATTGGCAAAGACTTGCAAAGTTCATCTTTACAGCGGAATCGTTTTTAAAGAGGAATCCTTCAATCATTAAACTGAATATTTGTACAGTAGTAATAGTACGATTGTACTAGTGGACTCTTGAGAAGAACAATGGTGGATCAGCGAGCCATCCAGCTAAAGAGATGCCATAATTCACATGGCCAGGGACCAATCGACGTCCTTCCCACTGCTCCACGCTGTAGTGCACCGAAAGAACAAAACTGGCACATGCATTTGTTTAGCCTTTTGGGGAGGCTGGAAAATATAAATTGTACAGAGATTTTCCTTTAGCAATAAACAACTCAGTAGGAACCGGCGAAATCCTCTAGACAGAAGTGAGACCTTATGTTTCAGTTCCAAACTTTGAATAGCGACGCGTATTTGGCGATCTATAGGACAGAAGTTGGTGGTGATGTGTAAACACAAAAGATTTAACAAGAGGAACTGGTGAGCTACTTCTGTGTTAAGATACCAACACAAGTAGTGGCCGATTTCCTTTATTTGACGATGGCAAGAAGATCAAGAAAGATAATCTGGCAACCAGCCCACATACATCACCATGTCCAAACATGCATCAAGAGAGGCTCAAGAGGTAATATTCCCCTGACTGTTTTATACAATAGTTGTTTCCTTAACATTTCAGAACAACTAGAAGCTAAAGTAAAAGCGCAATTTGCCATGCTAAAAATGGTGGGAATTGAGCATAAAACGATCTTGTTTCCTTTGGTTGTTCAGACAATGAGTTGAGTGAAGTTGAAGCATGCACCAACCATTTCGAGATGACAGATCGTTGACGAATGACAACGAACAAGAAAAATACAGAACTGGTAAACTGGCTATGTCTTGTCTGTTATGCTTGTTGACATTTTGATCGAGGACAAAATGAATGCTAACACAAAATCCGCAAACAATGATAATCAAGAAGGTGATAACCTACCTACATCTGCATGCACGCGTAGTTGGATCACGCATGAAGAAGACAGGAGATGGCCGGTGCCGACAGACTGAAAATTAGCCAGGAAACTTCTATTTCAAAGAATGAACCAGAAAAGCTGGTGAGCTACCTGCATCGCTTTAGAAACACTTGCCGACAACTGAATACAATGGTGCATTTGACATTGTTCAAATTTTCTAATAATCCCTCTTTGGAGTAGAATATTTTAGTAAAATCTAAATGCCGTCAACTTTAAAACATCAATTTCAAATGCGTCTATTTCATAAATATTTGACTGATTATTTTATTCTTTTGTACCTATTTTATCATTCTCGCAATTATTTTTTAAGATTGCGAAATTTATCGATTTTGTTTCTTCCACAATTTTTACATTATGTCCCATTTTATCTATATATATTTTGTACTTTTGCTAAAGATTTCAGATTTCCTTAATTTAGTAAGATTTAATATATTTTCATGATTTATTTTCAAACAAACTTTTCTACGATGCTAACTCAACGTTGTGTATCCATGTGGACAATAATAACCCATAAAAAAAGTTGGACACGTGCCCCGTTAGTCAAAGCCACCCCTTTTTGGGTAGTGGGGGAGAGGATAAAATTAACCGTTATAATAGTTCATGGGTGACTTTTAACTCTGATGTTTAGGTATATCATGCACTTATCCCTGACAGAGAAGCACCACATCCATTGGTTTGTTGGTTCTTTTAGTATCAATTGTTGACTTGATACCCATTCATCAGGTGCTTGGCTTTGCAGGGTTAGCTCACCAATAGCAAAACCAATGCGCAGTTTCTAGGTGTATTGGGAAGGAAATCTAGTGGTTGGGATTTGGTGAATTGCCTGTCATGTAAACTGAAACTGAATTCTGCAGTTCAGACTTCAAACCTTTCTTTTCTTTTCTTTTTTTGCGGGGGCCTTCAAACCTTGACTTCAGGCGATTTGGTTGTTCTTGACCTACTTTGTAAAACAACGTATGTTCTTCTTACTTGATAGTTTCACATGTTCGATATGAACAGCAAATATTGGCTTTGCTTTATTACAATTTAATTGAAGAGGCAAAGCATCCTAACAGATTACTGCACTGCTAGTGGATACCTGAGAAGAACGATCATGGATTAGTGACCCGTCTAGATAAAGAGAGTCCATAATACACATGGTCTGGGACCAATGGTCCTCCTCCTACCTGCTCCACAGTATGCAGTACATATCAAGAAAGAGCACAAAACAACAGAAAGTAGCACATACATTTGTTTAGCCTTTTGGGAAAGCTGCAAAATACAAATTGTATACAGCACAAAAGCAGCAGAAGATTCCTCACAAAACAAATGCAGCAGAGAAACAACTCAACAAGAACTGGAAAATGCGTTCAGATAGTAGAAGTGAGACCATGTTTTTCAGATCCAATGGCAACATGCATTTTTTTTTTCTTTTCTTTCGAGATGAATAGCAACATCTATTTGGTGGTGATGTGTAAACTTTGAACACACAAGATTTAACAAGAGGAACTGGTGGGCAACTTGAGTGTTAAGATATCGACGTAAGTAGTAGTCCGTTTCCATGGCTTAGCGATGACAAGAAGATCAAGAAAGAGATAATCTTGCAACCAACCACACACAACAGTACATGAAGACAACTACGTACCCAGAAAATATAGGACTGGTAGAACTGGCTATGTCTTGTCTGTCATGCTTACTGACAGTTTTGGCAACACAATCCACAAAGAGTTGAGACTGAACCGCCCGGGAAACCCAACCTTTTGGCCTTCTTCCTGAATCAGAAAACGGGAATGATTAAGACAAGCTCGATCGGTGCGTGCATGTACGGATGGCTATTTGAATGAAAGTTGGTGCACTCGAGACTGACAGGTTACCAGCAGCACAAAGCGGTACGTAGGTCCAAAGGCTCCATTGTTTTCTTTATTATTATATGGGTCTGTCTAAGACACATCTAAATGTGACATAACTATGTCACATCTAAGCTGATGTTCATTCTGTTTGTGGTCTATTTTTTTATCCTAGTTTTTTTTATTTCTTATTGCTACATTATATACTTGTAGGAGCTTAGATGTGACATCCTTAAAAAACATCTAGATGTGAATTAGACAAACTGTATTATTATTATCGGCACAGCTAATCAAGTGTTGCAATTGCATGATGATCTTGAAACATTTTGGACGAGCAAGCTGAACTCCAAATGATCCATTCTGAATCATTTTCTCGAACAATCGCTATAACTATATGGTGGTAGCAGTCTCTCTGCCAAGATTTGACGCGATAAATCGCCACCTAGGTTCAAATCCTCTCAGGCCAGATCCGGGTGTCCAACCCATAAATCTCATTTCAGTAAGAACAAACGAACGAATGACGCCATGAGCGCGAGCAGGCAGCGGCGGCGGCGGCGAACGCGCCGCCATTTTCCAGCTCAGTTGCTGTTCTGGTCGACGAGCACGTGCACGGTGGCGGACACGGCCTTGTCGGTGGCCACGACGACCTGGTTGCCGGAGATGTTCCTGAGCGTGTGCCCGGGGAACGCGTCGCCGGCGACGAGCGAGTACTGCACGTGCCCGATCCGGTTCGGGAACAGCAGCACCGGCGCGAAGTCCACCGTCCAGGAGCTGCCGTTGCCCTCGGCGGAGCCGCGCGCCGTGGTCGCCTTGACGTTCATCCCCATGGCGGAGTTCTGCTGCACGTACACCTGCTCCACCGTCCCGAACTCCCCGTCCAGCTGCACGATGTCCACGCCCTTGCCCCGCCCGTTGAACATGTTGCCGGTGATCTGCACGCCGCGGGCGACGCCGTTGACCGCCTTGAGCACGACGTTGGCGTCGCCGAGGAAGAAGGAGCTCGACACGTGCAGCAGCACGGGGTCCTCGGCCACGATGCTGGTGTAGTCCATGTAGCAGTTGGTGAGCCACGTCTGCGTGAGCCCCGGCACCCTGAGGTGGATGCCGGTGCCGCCGAACCCGGTGGCCTTGTTGTAGCAGTGCACGCCGGAGATGGTGTTGGCGCCGCCGGTGACCATGATCCCGGTGGCGGCCGAGAAGACGACCACGTCGGAGACGGAGTTGTCGTTGCCGTCGAGCCGGATGGCCGTGCCGCCGAAGGCGCGCTCCCCCGGGTCGGTGCCGGCGGTCATGTGCTGCCCCAGGAAGGTGTTGCGGATGTAGGTCTCGTGGCCCCCGCGCACCGCGATGCCCTCCGTCTCGAAGCCGGTGATGTAGCAGTTGTCGACGGCGACGCGCAGCGAGTCCACCACCGCCACGCCGCCGCCCCGGTAGCCGCAGTCCAGCATCAGGTCCCGCAGCGTCGCGTACTCGTAGTGGTAGCCCGAGGAGGAGGAGCCCGCCGAGAGCTCGATCAGGTACCGGTCCGCCGGGAACTCCGCCGACGCCCGCAGCGAGCCGCTGTGGATCTGCCACGTGGACGCACGCCGGTGATCGTCAGACAATGTAACACACGTTGGCACATTGTGCGGTTCATTTGCCCAACGGTCTTGTTATTTACTACGTACCTTGAAGTTGCCGCCGCCGGAGGCCGGCAGGGTGAGCGGGCCGTTGACGAGGTAGGTGCCGCCGTCGAGGTGGATCTCGGCGCCGCCGAGGTCGGGGATGCCGGCGGTCATGGTGGCGTTGGAGGGGGGGCTGAAGGCGTCGGCGATGGCCTTCTTGATGGCCGCCGTGGCGTCCGCCGCGCCGGTGGGGTCGGCGCCGTAGTCCGTCACGTGGTACACCCGCGAGCCCGCCGAGGACTGCAACGAAAATCCACCACGTCAGACGTGACACCAATAGCAGTAGGATGGTCAGTGCGATGCGCCACACCAAGCGGCCAATGACGGGAGCGCGAGTCCGTACGTAGCTGCACCCGAGCGTTTGACATTTGTCGGGTGGGTGGTTGGGAGGTGGGGCAGTTAATGCTACTTTCTACTCTCTTTTTTTTTGCGGGGTAATGCTACTTTCTACTACTGTACTCGCATTACCAAACACGGGAAGAGAAGGGAGAATCATTTGCCGAGGGACGAAAAGTTTCTTTGCTGATGCCTAACATTCTTGACGGAACTCCCGCAAAAAAAAAAAACATTCTTGACGGAACTGCATTTGTAAGCTGACGGATGAAGACGAGATCAACACGGAGAGACCCTGATTTCCAGTCAGCACTCGAGACCCGACGCGAATGCAGACATGGAAGATGATCTACCACTACCGTTTTAATTTCCTTTTGAATTTTTTTTATAAATAAAAAGGTACCTTTTGCGGTGAAAGGAAGGGCTCATTTTCCTTGTGCAAAAGCGAACGAATGAAAAATCTCCCAGAAAGCAAAGCGACCCGACACTTCCTCTGTTCCTCTGCGCTTCTACTGTAGTATTTTGTAATTAAACTGCCATACGGATGTTGTAATTCAGCCATAAAGGAACCGAACGTTAGCAACTGCTGCTCCCACGAAAAGATGTTCCAACGGAACCACGGAAGGGCGATGAATGTGACCACGTGACTCCGAGAACCGCTTTCGTTTTAACTCGAAAAACAAAGTGATTAGAAGCAGAGAGTTCGAATGGAAGAAGCAGCAGGCATGGCGAGGGATTAATACTGCCTACTGACCGTTGCGAGCCCCCGCCTGGCCTTGCCGAAGGAGGATCTGACGCTCTCCATCCTGCCCGCCGCGAGATCCCGGTACCGCCGCTCGGCGCCGGCCCTGGCGCCGGCGGCGCCGTGGTGCGCCCACGCCTCCGCGCCGCCCGCCGATGCAACAAGAAGAAGGGCGGCCCCGACAAGAAGAAGAACCGCATGCAGGCGGCCTCCTCCGGCGAGCACCTCCATGCTTCTTGCTTGGGCCCGGCCTTGTGCTGCTACAGCATCAACGGCCGGCGTCTCGAACCCCTCCCTCTCTGCTTCTTCTGTATCTATAGGAAAGTGACGAGCCAAACGCCTCCTCTGTCGGTGTCCGCGTGGCACCGGCGCCGTGGGTTTGCCTGCTTGCTCGCTAGCGACGAGACGGATGCACGCATATATAGGTGAGGTGTGGTGCCACTGCCAGCAGAGGAGCCTGGTCAAGTAACTCAAGGAGGGGGAGAGGAGAGGAGCCTGGAGGAAGAAACGCAAGGGAATGGCGTGTGGTTAATGGGAATTGGCATAAAGTGCAGCGCAAGGGTCCGTCCGTCCGATCATTCAATGCAACAACAGCAATGGGGCCATCGTCGTGGCAGCAGTAGGCCTGTGGGTCTGGCAACAGACATAAAATCTTCTGCGCTCTTTCCTGAGACTGTCACGGTGCACCTCGTTTGTTCTCAGGACTGATCACGAAAATGATACTACTACGTGCAAATTTTGCAATGCCAACAGACAGACAGGGGCAATCTAGCACAGATCCGTGCGGCAGCGACCAGTTTATCACCGCGTGCATCGATCGAGGTACCGACCGGACCTTACAAACGGTAACTCTTTTTTTTTTTGAGGATTACAAACGGTAACTCTTGGCATGATACGATGGTGGTGAATAAAGTAGTCCGTGCGTGTGTGACTGCGAATGAATCTAGAAGCACAAGAAGAAGGTGGTGTGTGTGCGCGCGTGCGCCCCTGTTTAATCGGGCGGGTCCAAGGGGAGCCGATGAAAAGCCCGTTTGGTGTGCTCGCATTATTCTTTCCTCCTCTTCCTCTTCCTCATCATGTCCCTTCTCCTTTGCTTGGATCCCCAAGCTTTCTCTTCCTTGCTTTCCTCGGGTGCTCTCCCTTTTCCCTTTGTTCCCTCCCTCCCTCCCTCCTGGCCCATGCATGCGTGAGAAGCTGAGATGCTGTAATAGTAATCCCTAGTGCCCGTTTATGCACTAGTAGTGTACTGGCCCTACAACTCGCTTCGTGTGACTTGTTGAGCACAATAAGAACGCTTTTACTATTGTATAATGCGTACATATCGGCCGGTGGCAAAATTTCCTTTTCTGAAACCTATTCGATATCTGACCCTAGGTTAAAAAAATTCGAGATCTGACCCTTTTGCTACCGCCAGAGTCCATGACGATAGGGGCTAACAGCCTACCGCCAGGGACTTTGGCGGTACGAAACATTGCTACTGTCAAACGGGCTGGCGGTAGCCTGCACAACCCTACCGCCAAGTTGCTTGCCGGTAGGCACGAGCACACACTGTGTTCAATACTTAGGAGATTTTTGGCGGTAGGGCATGCAACTCTAGCGTCAGGGTCCTTGGCGGTAGGCTGTTATACCCTACCGTCATGATATTTGGCGGTAGCAAAAATGTCAGATCTCAAAAAAAAATTAAACTAGGGTCAAATCTCGAATAGGTTTTAAAAAAGGATCAAAATACGAAATTTAGCCTCGGCCGGTGCAACTGCTGCGTATACCTACAAGATGAGACTCGGAGACCAGGTGCCACGTACTACGTCTCGTGGAACTACTCTAGCGGCAGCAAGACGCTAGAATTCAAAGCTCCTTGGTCTGGTTTGTTGGGGTGTTTCTGCCAACTTTCCGCACAAGAGTTTAAAAAGCCTCCCCTTTTCCTCCTGTGTCCAGCCAGAGTTACTTGGCCTTTACACTTGGAGTTGGAGGAGGGCCGTTCGTTGAGTGGCATGCATATCGTCGGAGAAACCAAAGTGGACCGAGGAAAAGAGACTAGAGGCTCGCTTGGTCGTCAGTCACGTTGCCGCACGCGCGCGCACGATCAAGCGCCCTGGAAATTCCGATTCGTGGATTATGTTGCAGCGAGGCGGGAATAAGAGGATGGGCATCTGCAAGCTGCACGCAACAAAGAACAGTTCTATCTTGTCAGCCAAAAAATATAGTATAAAACAGTTGTATTTTATCAGGCTGTGCATCATCATCATCGTCTACGAAGGCTGGCTGATGATCCGCGGCCATTTGGACGATACGTGTTGAGGAGACAACGCACGGAGATGCATCCCAGGCGCGGGAGATGGGATGGCGCGCGTACGTGTTCACGAGACAAAAGCGTGCGGGGCTGTATCCAAGCGATCGATGGAGAGCGACCGAGTGGCGCCGTCCACGCGCGCGACGTGTTCTTGCAACGTCCAACGATGCCGACGGGCGCGCGGGCATCACCGTACGGCTGGCTGCGGCCGCCGGCCTCGGGCGGAAAGCGAGACCGCTGGTACACGTGCGCGTTCCTGCCATGGAAGCTCCACTACTCTCCTTGGTTTTGATGACTGATCGGACACCCCAAATAATGTAATCCACGTTCGGACACCTTAGTTATCATATATCAAAAGGATAAGTATATTTTTCGTCCTCAAACTCTTTCAAAAGTTTAGAAATCATCCCTCAACTCAAAACCGGATAGTTTTCATCTCTCAACTATTAAAACCGGATAGTTTTCGTCCTCATGCCGCTTCGGGCGGTTTTCGTCTGTCATGAATAGTAAACCGACAAACAGTAAATTCGAAAAAATAGCAAAAAAATCTGAAAATTTGTGGGATCAAATTTCCTTAGGTTCGCAAGGTGCGTACAAATTTTCATATTGTTTGGACATTCCAACTGCTCATGACAAAGGAAAACAATTATAAATATGTACGTCGGTGAACAATAAATTAAAAAAATAGCAAAAAAATGTGAATTTTTTGGCATCAATGATACTAGGGTGTGCAAGGTGCGTGCATATTTTCGTGCTCAAATGACATAGGAGGAGCTCTAGCAAAAAATAAACAAAATAGTGCACTTTTTCAAAGTTTCTTTCCCATCCAATTTTTGTTTTTTTTCTGCCACGAGCTCCCACAATGTCCAAACACCATGAAATTTCGCAGGCACATTGAGCACTCGAGCATTTTGTATGTCAACATTTTTCATATTTGTTTGATTTTTTTCGAATTTATTGTTCACCAACATACATATTTATGGTTTTTCCTTTGTCACGAGCTCCTGGAATGTCTAAATAGCACAAAAAAAATTGAGAACTAGGCTGTAGCCTAGTGGCAAGGGAGCGCAGTGGCGTCTCCAGCAACCAGGGTTCGAGCCACGTCGGGGACGAATTTCTGGTTTCTCACAAGGGATGCTTCTCCTATATCAATAAACCATGGGTGCTAGTGCCCATGAGTTTCATCTAAATAGCACAAAAATTTCCACGCACCTTGCGCACCCGAGGAACTTTGATCCCACAAATTTTCAGAATTTTTTGAATTTTTAGCTATTTTTTGAATTTGCTGTTCATTGGTTTACTGCTCATACGGACGAAAACCGCCCAAAGCGGTGTGAGGGACTAAAACTATCCGGTTTTGATAGTTGAGGGATGAAAACTCTCCGATTTTGAGTTGAGGGACAATTTCTAAACTCTCGGAAGAGTTCGAGGACGAAAAATATACTTATCCCTATATCAAATTCATACAAACTCATGCAACTACGTCGACGCACACGCATCGTCCGGCTACTCCATCACACTACACTAAACATGTCATAGGACTATCAAAATTTGACATGTTTGGCTATGGTGGAGTTCAATCGCGTCTCCGCGGAAGTACCGGTCAAAGACGCGGTACGGATCTGCTCGTCGTCGGAGCTGTCCTTGTCGTTGTTGTCCTCCTTCTCCTCCTTTGTGGTAGTCCAGCCATGGCACGAACCGCCCGATCATGCTCTCGGTCTAGTCCAGCCCATTTGAGGTGTTCGTCTGAATCGAAAAAAACGTGATCAGACAGTGATCAAGCGGCCCGCTCGGGCATATAAGGCAGGTTTGAGAGGTACGGCTGTAGATACTCTAATCAGGTGGGCGCTTAGTACGTACGTACGCAGAGGGAATTGAAGGCAATCCTTCTTCACTTAATTAACTATTACTGTTGATCTGGTGCCAAGCTAACTGCTCTGCTCTGCACCTACACCTGTCGAAAGCTACGTAGCTCACAGCAGTCAACAAGGCATGTGGCACGCTCCATCATGACAATTATCGACCAATCACACGTTACAAGTGTCAAAAACGTTTTTATATTATGAGACGGTGGAAGTACCGTCTATTCCTATCGTCACTGACCGATCGAGGCTGGCTGGCGGCTATGTGCGTGCGCTGGATGAGGATGCCTTTCTTTTCTTGTCGGGACTTTGGCAAGACTATAGTGGAAGTATGTAAAACGTGTGTAAGGGCTAATTGGTTTGAATAACAGGCTTAATTTTGTTCACGCAAGTTTGGGTGGTGGATGGAGGTGTGCGCAAGTCATGAAATGAAACCTCGCCTGTTTGGTTTGTGTAGCCTAGAACTACAAGTCATGCATTCTGGTGTAAGACTCTGAGAGGGAGCCTTCCGAGTGTAAAGGAGATGCGTACAACTGGATACTTTCTCGCCTAACGACATGTACAACAAACTGCGTTTTTATATATATACTCCTTATGTTCACTTTTATTTCACGTTTTAGATAGTTAAGATAGTGCCCAAAACAGTTCAAACCTAGTTGTCTAAAACGTTTTATAAAAACAAACGGAGGGAGTAGCAAAGATGCTTAATTGGACACCTCTGCTATATAGAAAATGAAAGCTAGTGTTTAAATAAAAATCGGTTTAAGTTTACAAGCATCGTTTGAAATTTGTTGCATTATACATGGTCTAAGGGTATGTACAAGACCACCAAGGCCAAATGCAAGGTTAATTGGGACACCGTTTACCGCCCAATCATCAATGAGGGTCTTGGAGTGCTAAACACGGAGAAAATTTGCTAGGGCGCTTAAACTTTGTTAGATTTGGTTTGAGCAATAGAAGATGTGGGTTGGTATGGGCAACTCATGCGATGACGCACACTACCACTTCTTTTATGTCTCCTCAACTATTATTGTGGGAAATGGCGCGTGCACCCCCTTTTGAGACTCTCCGTGGGTGCA